GCCCCAGGCCGCCCCCCCGCCCCCCCCCTCCCTTGACCCGCTGCGCCCCCAAAGGAGGCCAATGCCAGCAGGCAGAGCAGCGGGACCGCCGACCCACCTTCGCCTGGGTCCAGTCTGCCCTCCCTTCCTTGCCATTCACCAGCTGAGGGAAAGAGGCGACGGCCAGCGCCAGGAGCCCGACCAGGCGCCAGGCGGCCGCTGCCTCGCTCTTGCTCTTCTTCCTCCTTCCCCCCTTCGCCATGCCTCCTCCGAAGCGGCGTGTGGCAAACGCGGGCTCGGGCGGAGGGGAGCCTCGGCTTCTCTACCTGCGAGGCAGCGGCGCGGAAACGGACCCGGAGGCGGGAAAGTGGAAAGGTTGGCGCTGGAGCGCCTCCGTTAGCGCGCTCGCCCGAGCAGGCGTGAGGTGCGGGACCCTCTCAGCCTCCCTTCCGCTCTCAGCCGTTGCCGCTGCCCTCGCTGGGGCTCATTTTGCTCCGCAACGTGCTTCCTGCCTGCCTGGTCTCCGTCAGAGAAAGGGAGGGAGCCGCACGTTCCGCTCAACCCCAGCTTCGCCTATGGATTTCGCCGGAGGGATGTGCGTTTTGTCCCTGGCACCACGTCAGCGGCACCATCAGGAGGACAGCAGATGACTAATCCCGCCTCAGCTTTGGGCAGCCGCCACAGCAAGATGGGCTCTCCCCCTGCCTTCATTTCCTCTTGTCTTATCCCCCCGAGGCACAGTGGAACAACGCTGTTGTGAAGGGGCGGCGGGCTGGACCTTGTGATTCCCTCCTGAACGCTCCAGAGGAGAGAATCAAGGCATGTTTATTTACATATGCCATCCCAATGTGGTAAAGCCCAAAGGCTGCCATAAAGTTCAAGCCATGGAGGGTACTTTTTTTAATCCCCAAAGGAAGGTGTGCAAGAGATAGATTACCCCCCCCGCCCCCGAAATCTGAACATTTTTGTTCTGTTCAGCTTCTTACAAATCCTTACCACCACCCCTCCTTCTTGAGTGGAAGGATCAGCAACAGGGTGCTATGGTTGCTCGGGAGTGCTTGAATGCGTTCACAGTCCTCATATTCTTCTGGGTGGTTCCTTCCATATTCCCCACAAAGCCCTTTGTAAATGCATGCATATAAAGGCTAAAACAGATGTTAAGGGGATTTAGTTTTCCCTCTTTTCCCCTTGAACAGTCCACACAGATGCATACTTCAGTCTACCTTTCACAGATCAGTCACAAAACACAGCGTGATAAATTCAGGATCTGTATGTGAAGAAACTCATATGCTAGGGAAGATATCTTCCATTGTCTAAAGAAGTACATCTTCTAAAATGTGCTATTCATTATTGTACATTAATACTTATGTGGGAGTCAGCTGTAATGAACATAATGGGACTCACTTTCAGGAGGACATAGGTAGCACTGCACTGCAAGTGTCCACAAATGTTTTTGCTACATGCTGGTAAAGTTGTGTGTTACATTTTCTTTTCTGGGGATTCGCCTTCTTTTTCCCAAAGGGCCACAACAAGGAAACAGCTTGCAACCTCTCTCCTCAGCCAGAGTTCCATGCGAGGAAATCCCACCATCATTAATATGGTGACCTTCTGAACTTAAAGTGCTAATGAACCTTCAGAAATGTTCTGATCCATTCCTTATTGGAGGAATGCCATTTCCATTCAAACATTTTCTGAATCTATTTGAATCAGCCCTGGTCTATTCAATTTTGCCAAATCTGCAGCCCACCAATAATATACAGATAACCATTCGTTGTCGTTTAGTCGTGTCTGACTCTTCGTGACCCCATGGACCAGAGCACGCCGGGCCCTCCTGTCTTCCACTGCCTCCCGGAGTTGTGTCAAATTCATGTTGGTAGCTTCGCAGACACTGTCCAGCCATCTCATCCTCTGTCATCCCCTTCTCCTCTTGCCATCACACTTTCCTAACATCAAGGTCTTTTCCAGGGAGTCTTCTCTTCTCATGAGAAGGCCAAAGTACTGGAGCCTCAGCTTCAGGATCTGTCCTTCCAGTGAGCACTCAGGCTTGATTTCCTTTAGAATTGATAGGTTCAAGAGCCTCCTCCAGCACCACAATTCA